AGCAGGAAAGCAGCTTCTCCTCTGGATTGTGACACTGCCTGGTCTGGCAGCCTGAGCAGAAGAGGCTGTGAGGAGGGAAGGTGCAAATATTGTAACTCTGCAAAGCACCTGGCCTGAGAGCAGACAGGAGAAAGTTTGGGTGAAAAAGGGTAAAATCCAATTCATGGCAATAGCACCCAAGGTGACTCTTCCCATCCAGTCAAATTCCCTGGCCCATGTGCTACAAAAAAACAGTCTTTAACCAGAAGGGTGCATCTCATACTTCTTGCTCATGTCCAAACATGTTATTTCTGGATATATCTAAAATTGAAAGAGATGGGCCCAAGTCCACGAGTTAATTTAGACTGAGGACCCAAACTCCCATCAACTTTCAGTAAGATTCACGTGCCACAATTCCTCAGGATTGCTCCTGAGATAGAACTGCCCTCGTGCAGCTGAAATACAGAGTAAAACTTAACCTTGTTTTGTTAAATATTGAGTAAAACCGTCCCTTGTTTCAAGTCCCATCTGTGCTGTGCTCAGCTAGAAGAGAGAAGAACCATTTCCACACATTGCCTTGTACTAGACAGTTGGAGCTTAATTTCTATTCTTTTTCTTCTGACAGCTGGTATAAAGATAAGGAGCTTCTGGAATACTCATATCCAGGTTACTTATCTTTAAATGAAGATCACATGAGCATCATTGCAAATGCAATTAATGAAGGAACTTACACTTGTATAGTGAAGAAAAAAGAAAGAATCTTGACTACTTATTCCTGGAGAATCAGACTCAAGCACTAACGAGGGCCCTGGAATGAGCACTCCAGGTACTGCTCCTTCTCTTTCAAATTCAAAATGTTTCTCTGGCATTTTATATTTAACCTCTGACAGTCCAACTCAACTTCTACATCAGCTGCTTCTATTCCTTGGGCAAAAGAGACTAAGACTTGATTACTGGAACATAAAACTTCCAAATCAGTTCTAATGCTAAAGAATTTATCAAGTATGAAGTATGTGCTGTGAAGAGAATTTAAAATGTGGGGGTTTTGGTTTGTTTTTAAAGTGTCGGATTTTGCAGCTAAACTATGTGGATCACTGCAGAATGCTGGAAAACAAGAACATAATTCTTCATCACACAAGTGGTTGAAGGGATTGGTGGCTCAGCTCTTGCCATGGAGGCAGAGGTACAGTGGAGGGAAATGACCAGTTACACTCTGTTTTCCTGTCAGGTTTTTAGATCCTGGTGCACAGCACCGGAGGAACTTAAGACTTTTTAATAAGACCTCTTATTACCTTTTATTTTTCTTGTCAGAAGGAGGATGTAAGGTCACAACACACCTTCTCTCATTATTCCATTCCACATTTCAGCACATTCATGTATCCACAGAACAGCTTTTTCCCCACCAACCACTTTCCTGTGGTATTTGTTACTTGTACTCTTATCCCAAGAGACTATTTACCTCCATCAGCAGCTCCTCATAACCTGTCCTGCAGGTGTGTCTGCCTCTGGACTCTCCAGCAGGGATGAGGGAATTTCCATCACTGTCATTTCCAGCATTATCCTGTCACTTCAGCAGTGAGGTAACTGTGCCACATCCCAGAGGGAAGCAACACCAGTGCTGCTTGGCTGCACTAGGCTTTGCCTGCTTCTCCACAGCTGGAGCAGCCCTGGCACAGTCTGAAATCCCTGGCAGTCTTTCCATGCAGTGACATCCCTGTCCAGCACTAAAGCAGCCTCCATTGCTCCCTGCTTAGGTTCAGCCTTTTGCAGTTGTCCTCTTAACCTCTTGGAACAAGGTTCTTCCTACTTAGAAGCACCAACACACCCAGGAAGTCTCTCATGTGCTGCAGTACAGGTCCAGGAAGACCTTTGTTTAAGAGCAGAAAGGCTCCAGCAGTAAAACCCTCAGCAAAGGTGCAAAGACATAGAAAGAAACTGCTAATTCCTGTTTGTCTGGTACAGCTGCAAGGTCTGTAATTGCACTGGCAGCCATTCAGCATGAACTGCACATCTGTCACAGCACAGAGCTGCACTATGTGGATCTGATCATCTCTTCCCAAGGCAAAGCTTTGGCATTGGGAGGAGAGAAACAAGCACAAGGAGCTGTTCCTCTTAGTTTCCAGGACCTGTCACAAGAGGACGTCAACACTTCAGCTGCAGGGAGGCTTAATCCTGGGGCAGAGGCACAGTCCTTCACCTCACTTCAGTGTCACTCTGCCTTCAGACATGGCTCAGTGCTGATTACCACACCTCACACAGTTTCTCTGCGTGCACCATCACAGGGAATAACATGATTTTCTGTAAAGAAGCCAATAAAAAAAATTAAGCTCAGCCCCTGCAGAGGGACACTATGTATCTCAGCTTCCACCTGCTGGTATGGAAACCAGCTCCCAGATGTGGAGATGTCCTCCAGGTAAGCAACAACACTGACTTCCTCTCAGATTACAGCTTGAATTTATAAAAATAAAAACTGAAACAAGCCAACAGCAAGTAAGTACCTGAACTACACTTTGGTGATTCTGCCTCACATTCATGCACTGGAACTTCCCTTGTGTTTTAAATTATCTCTTTCTGCAACTTTTCCACACTGGCATCAGCTGTTTAAAAAAAAGATCTGATTTCAGAATACTTGGATACTACAACACTGTTTTGGTGAACCAGACCTTAACCTTTTTGCTCTCCTTACCTGCCTTGCAGAGCAGCTCTGTTAGCCATGCTGGGAGGGATGTCTTCTAGCTGTCCATGAAGCACTTGTTTATACAGTTTAATATCAAGGATCTCTGCTGGTAAAGCACAATTAGGATTTCACCATTGCTCTGCCCTTTGACTTCTCACAGATTTATTTGGTATGAATAAAGAAGCTGAGGATTTGGTTTCACCAGTTAACTGAGTACAGCACAAACTCAACAGTGTGTCTTTGCATGGAGAGTTGAGCTCAGGATCTTAACAGGCAAGGACTCTATGCAGAAACAGACAATTGAGACACAATAAAAGCTGAGATGCAGTCACCTGCCTGCAGCAGTGCCAAGGGAGCCAGAAGGGTAATAATTGCTAGAGTGCAGGATGCACAGCACAGCCTGAGACACTGCACCTGCAGTCATGTGCTGACCCCTCAGAGCTCAGTACAGGCCCTGACACAACCTCCCTGTGCTCCTCTGGGATGCAGCAAAAACACACAACTGCTTTACAGCAGGGAATTCATCTCCACCTCTGAGGAGTCTTGTGCAAATCACACACACTCGGTGACCAGACTAGTCTTAGAACTGATTCTCTTTCATTACAGTTTGGCCTTAAGAGAAAACCTCGACAGAAAACCAACCCAAACACCCACCCCTCCTATCTTCAAAAGGTACCACAATGTTGGTACATCCCCCTTCCAGTTCCAAGGCCCTTGCCCAGAAAAAAACGTCTTACAATGTGCTGAAACAGAGGGAATGTTTATAATTGAAATGAATCCTTTCACAGGCCTGGTGCCCAGCTCTGACTGCATGAATACCTCAGTGTTTTCCAAATCTTCCTGTTCCTAGAAAAGACTGATAGCTCTGGAAACGAGAGCCTCAGAAGGCTGTGATATTCCATCATGATTCCTTTGGTCTTCCATCCTACAAGGACTGGAATATGGCATTATACAATCAGTAACGCAAAGCTCTCTCTTTTTTTTTTTTCTAATGGAAAAATGGCATATTTAAAAGAACTTTCTATAGAAAATAAAGTTTCAAGTCTCCTTATGAAATCTTTTTTTGATTTATAAAACAATAGGGTACCTCTTTTGCACCACTGTAAATACACGTGCACAACACAAACTGCACCCAAAAATATTGTCAGTGAGAATCCAGCCCTCTCCAAGGCACCAACAGGAAAGAAACCTCAGAACTGTTACTGGATATAGTTGGGGGCAAAAAAAGACACCTACATTTTCTTAAATGTTGTTTGCCCAGGCTGGCAATATTGCTGCCACAGCAGCACAGATCTGGAGGCAAACAAGGATGGAATAAGTTTCCATTCCACAAGACTTAATGCCATCACTGTCCAAGTTTTCTGCATGTGAAGAAATGAAATCCTTCACACTGTAAAACAATTAAAAATGTATTTTAATTCTACAAATTTACAAGGAAAAAAAAACAACAAACACCAACAAAACAAACCCAACGAAAAAAAAAGCAACAAACAAAACAACAGTTTTAAAACAGAAACTGTTCCAGGATTTTACTTCAAGTTCTCTTGTGTCAAATTCTGTAATGATCCTTGGCTTTTCAGGTTAATTCCAGTCCTGTCATGGAATGCTGCAGTTATACTCCACACCCAGCCAAAAGCCTTTGAACCTGTGAAAACCATCTAGTCTCCCTGACGTGAAGAACAGAACTGGGACACTCAGAAATTCACTCACATCAACAGTTTCTTTGTTTTGTTTTGGTTTTCCTCCTTTCATGTTGAGTTTAAAACTTGAGGCTGAAACCAGGTCCTGCAGCAGATGCTCCTTGATTTGTGGTGGTCAGATGAAAACCTGTGTCTTTCAGATCATCATCACCCTGTGAAAACCAAACACAATTCCTCTGTCAGGAAGCATCTGTACAGATGGATTTACCTCCAACTCAAAGATCTACATAAGAACAAAATAAATCAAAGTATCTTTATGCCAGGAGAAACAAATGTTTGATTTAGTGGCACTAGAGCTAAGGTCAGTGCAGTCTTATTCATGATCTTTAAACACTGCTAAATCAAAAGTTACATTTTCTCAGGGCATCTCAAATGTACCCTTAGTTTGTGCACATACTTTTTACCTACTTTTACCTACTTTTCACATGTGCATATGTGAAAGAAAAAGAAATCAATATGTGACTACAAAACTACATTTACTCAGCATCTGATCAAACACACTCTGCATCCCCTTCATTTTTATACCCTCAAAAACAACCTCTTAGGCTCCTTTATCTGTAAAACTGGGTTTAGGGACTGAAATGATGGTGACACAGTAACTGGAGCTGTCCTCTGAGAAGGAATGGGGAGATCTGGGCTGCTGGAGGGGCTTTTCCAGGCAAGCAGGGGTGAGTGTTGGGATGGGGAACATTTCCAAGCTCAGGATGTGGACATGTCCAAGGACATGAGCAGTGAGTGTCACCTGGCCCTGCTGTACTCACCAGCTGGCTGTAGCCAAGGCCCCCCTCAGGTGGCCGAGGGCTCGTGCCACGTTTCACCCTCTGCTGCTCACTTTTTGCTGGCCAGGTGGGAAACATGGAGGGGTCGATGGGCAGAGGAGTCTCCCGGAAATACTCGTGTTTCAGCCCATCCTCAGCAGTGATCCTTCTGGCTGGGTAGTATGTCAGAAAGCTGAGAGGAATTCAGGGAGACAATGAAATGGGGAAGAAGAGAAACAGAGGGGCAGAAAGGAAAAAACAGCCTCAAAATTATAAATTCTTCAGCAATGCCATTTGGAGCATTCTGGTCTTTAACAAAGGCTTCTGTTAATGGGCATGATTGGTGACATTTGAGTGGTCTGTGAAAGTCCAGTTCCTACATGGACCTGCAGGGAATGGAACTGCAGCTGGAACTAGGGATCTGTTCACTGGAGAAGAAAGCTGGGATTGTATCAATACACCCCAAACACTGTAATGCTGTAAAATTGAACTGCACAGCTTGAGGTTGGTTATTTTAAACCTTCCACTGTACAGAAAGGGGTTTTACTGTACTAATCATCCTACCAAACACACAGATACACACACACACCCCCAGTAGATACAGCCCTGGCACAAACAAAGCACTTCTCATAGAATGCCAGGTTGGAAGGGACCTCAAGGATCAT